AAGGTCACTCAGGTCTTCACCCTGCATCTACCTACAGGCCCCTTCTCTTCAGGTGTCTCCTTCCTCCACTGGCAGAGGAAAGGGGAAAAGCAACAATAAGAACACACAAATGTCAACATTATGAGAAGGAGCAAACCTAGACCAGACCAGAGAGCTCCCAGACTCCTCTATCCCTTGGCCAAGGTCTCAGGAGAGGCTACCAGTCTAGTCTAAGCCAGTAAATAGCAAATAGAAAATAACAGCTAACACCTGAGGATTTACCATGTGCCAGGCACTGGTTTCCTATGAATTACCTTATTTAATCCCTACAACTTTATGAGAAGGGTGCAATTATTATCCCTGTTTTACAGGAAAACGAGTCTGAGGAGCTGAAGTAATTTACCAAAGTTTCTTGGGCGAAGGGAACACTGAAGCCCTGACAGCCCACTGGGTCAGGTACCCCAAACCAGGCTCTTAACCACATGCTATTAACAGAAATCATAGCTTAGCCAAAAACTGTGATGTAATTACATTAAGAGGATGGGAGAAGAAAAAGAGAGGGTGTAAGGGGTGGGACTATACACTTTCCTATAATTCCTACAGCAGGAACTCAATAGATGTCTAAACCTGATAGACCAAAAAGTATTACTATAAACATATTATTTAGAAACCAGCAGTAAACACCAGACAAAAGAGCTAAAAGAGCTGAACTGGCTACTTCCACGGAGAGGACTTGGGGTAAGGAACTACTTGCTTTTTTTTTTTTAAGCCTTTTGCTATTATTAGATCTTTTAAAAATCATGCATATTTTTCAAAAGAAAAAAATATATTTTTAACATTTTTTAATTAATTTTTAGAGAGAGGGGAAGGGAGAGGGAAAGAGAAACATCTATGTGAGAGCGAAACATCAGCTGCTTCCTGCACGCCCTTATTGGGATCAAGCCCAAAATCTGGGCAGGTGCCCTGACCAGGAATAGAACCGGCAACTCTTCGGTGCACAGGACGTCACCCAACCAACTGAGCCACACTGGCCAGGGCTGGAAAATGATTTTAAAAGAAAAAGAAAGAAAATCAGAGATATGCCAATCAAAGTCTAATGCAGTGAACATCTACTGCTTTTGCCAGGCAGCTTCCATCCTCTACTGGTAAAAGCACTTGGGTTTTGCTTTGGAGAATCTCCCTCCTGTCAATCAGGGAACCCCCCTGCCCTAGCCAAGGGGGTCATGGGGCCAATGGCACCCTCTTCCTGGAATCTTGAGCAAAATAGCAAAAAGACAGCTGGAACCAATTCACCTAGAATTAGAGACTCTCCATTAGTTCCTTCCACCTACACAAGCCCCAGGACTCCCTTGGTTCAGACTTTTTAAGTTTTCCCTTAAATTCTTTGAGCTGCCCATTTCCTTCTAATAAATTCCTCTCCTGCTTAAGTTAGGCGGAGTCACTCTGTTGCTTATAACCAAAGAAACTTAATGGGAATATCTAATGTTTGAGGTTGACTTATGCTTTTATTTGCCAGTATAACTTACTATAGTTGTTTACAAACTTTTGACCTAAAAAATACATTTTACATCACAATCCAATATAATACGTATACATATATATAACTGAAACAAAAGTTTTGCAGAAAATGTCTACCCTAACATTCTGAGAGTGTTCATTTATTTCCTTTTTTAAGACTATTTTTTTAGAGCAGTTTTAGGGTTTACAACAAAATCAAAGGGCAGGTACAGAGATTTCCCATACATGTCCTGCCCCCTTACATGCATAGACTTCCCTATTATCAAAATCATTCACCAGAATGGTACCTTTTTTTTTTTTTTACTAAGGATGAACCTAAATTAACACATCATAATCACCCAAAGTTGATATTTCACCTTAGGGTTCACGCTAATGAAGTGAATGGTGCTATACATTCCATGGGTCTGGACAAAAGTGTAAAGATATATATCCATCATTATATCATACAGAATATTTTCACTGCCCTAAAAAGTCCTCAGTGTTCTATCCATTAATCATCCCCTCACCCCCCAAAACTCCTGGCAACTACTGATCTTTTTATTGTCTCCATAGTTTTGTCTTTGCCATAATGTCATATAATCGGGATCTTTCTTTTCTAATACTAGTTCTAACCCACTAAGTTGATTTCACACCCGCTAGTGGTTATGATCTGCAGTTTGAAACACACTGGCTCCATATACCTGCTGCATCTGCCACCAACAATTAAAAACAACCCAGAGAGTATATGAGCCATATTTCCATGTCCACGTGTGGTGCACTAAGACACATGGCCTGGATGGTGGGGAAACGCCAACAGAGTCCCAGGGTCCTGACTCTCATTGGTACACACCAACTGGGTAAACTATCTACACTGCTGACATCAGAAGAAACGTCTGTTCATTTACTCACTCATTTGCTCATGCACTGAGCACTCACTCAATGGTGTGACTATATGCTAGTTCCTGGGGACTGTTCAGAGCCATAAAATTCTATCTGCAGGCTGGCTCAGAGGAGAGGAATCCAGAATAAAGCCTGTTCCATGACGGAGTAAATGTTTATCACCCCCTCCTCCTGCTTAAGAGCTCAGGAATGTCTCCAGGATCAGATCTGGACAACGATTATTTCATTCCCAGCTTTGAAGTAAATAGCTCTCAAGTCCAACCTAGAAAGAAGGAATAAAAGTGATTTTCTGTCTCCCGCTGTTCTAGAGGTGTCTGCTTAAGCTTCAAACTATGGTTAGAATCCCTTGCTCATAATTTTCCTACCAACTTTCTGCCCCACTGGACAACCAGCAAAACATCAAGGAATAGAAGAGGGTGTTGATTCATTCTCAACACTGCCAGTGCCTTGGTCTTAAGACCTTTCTAGATCTCTTCTACAGCAAGCAAAAAGAAGCACTAACACCCCTCTCCTTAATTTTCCTCATACCCATTGCACTGCCTCAACCATACCAAACCAGTGAGCAAGAGCATGGTGTAGGACTTGGAGCTGAGACACAACAGGGAGTGGATTTTTTTCCATCTCTACAGCATCCCATAGCTGGGGAGCAGCAGGCTACAGAGACTAGGGATTGGGGGACCCGGGTTAGGCAGGAGCAACAAGACCTGTATTGTAAGGTGGTAGAAACACAGCCTGGGCAGCAATGGAGAGGCGACTGTGGACAGTAATCACCTCTACCATAACCTGAAATGAGCAACTATTCCATAAGTATTCTTTGAAGAAGAGCCAATCCAGGTGCAGCTGGGGCAGCTACCTCAGGGGCTTGCAGAGACAGGAAGAGGGAAAGGGAATCAGCTACGGAGG